TACACGTAGAAATCTGCAAACTAATTATTGAGGTACACGTTGGTATATGCTACAAAATTATAGAGGTACACGTGGGTATATGCTACAACATTATAGAGGTACACGTGGGTATATGCTACAACATTATAGAGGTACACGTGGGTATATTCCACCTAATTATAGGAGCACACGTCGGTATATATGCCACCCAATTATAGAGGTACACGTAGATATAGCCTACCTTATTATAGAGGTACACGTAGGTATATTCTCCCTAATTATAGAGGTACACGTGGGTAAAGTCTACCTAATTATAGAGGTACATGTGGCTATAGTCTACCTAATTATAGAGGTACACGTAGATATAGCCTACCATAATATAGAGGTACACGTGGGTATAGTCTACCTAATTATAGAGGTACACGTGGGTATAGTCTACCTAATTATAGAGGTACACGTAGATATAGCCTACCTTATTATAGAGGTACACGTGGGTATATTCTACCTAATTATAGAGGTACACGTGGGTAGAGTCTACCTAATTATAGAGGTACACGTAGATATAGCCTACAATATTATAGAGGTACACGTAGGTATATGCTACCTAATTATAGAGGTACACGTGGGTATAGTCTACCTTATTATAGAGTTACACGTAGGTGTAGCCTACCTAATTATAGAGATACACGTGGGTATAGTCTACCTAATTATAGAGGTACACGTAGATATAGCCTACCATATTATAGAGGTATACGTGGGTATATGCTACCCAATTATAGAGGTACACGTAGGTATATTCTCCCTAATTATAGAGGTACACGTGGGTATATTCTACCTAATTATATAGGTACACGTGGGTAGAGTCTACCTAATTATAGAGGTACACGTAGATATAGCCTACCATATTATAGAGGTACACGTAGGTATATGCTACCTAATTATAGAGGTACACGTGGGTATAGTCTACCTTATTATAGAGGTACACGTAGGTGTAGCCTACCTAATTATAGAGGTACACGTGGGTATAGTCTACCTAATTATAGAGGTACACGTAGATATAGCCTACCTTATTATAGAGGTACACGTAGGTATAGCCTACCTAATTATAGAGGTACGCGTGGGTATATTCTACCTAATTATAGCTAATATACCTAGTACACGTAGGTTCAAAGCACCCAGGAAACTCGTTTCGAATGTAAAAACTCCAGATCGCAACAATGGTTGTTTCGTGTTTAGTTACTAGGGTAGTATCTGTACGTGTATTAATACTATAAGCATATCTGGTGAGTCAGCTCGTTCAGTAATATACACTATGTATGAAAATGGTTTTGTAATTCCGTTGTATATTATTTCTTCTTCCGTGGTGTGTCCCGAATGCACGAAAACCGCGTGGAAAGAGACTGGGAGGGGTGCACTAAAGGGAGTTAACTCTAGATCCACACATTCAAACAGCTAATGTTCTGGTATTGAATTGTTTAACCTGATGATATTTGTGAAACGTTGGTCTTTATTCCCTGGCCCAAATTATCAAGATGGCTGGCACAATATTTTACATTATATTTTCTTTTGTTGCATTTTGTTTTTTGTAAGGTTATTTGATAACATTATTAACATAGACAGAGTGAGTGAGTGAGTGAGTGATGCTTCTTTCGGCAATACCCATGCAATATCATGGCGGGGAACAAAAAGAATGGGCTTCTGTCATTTCTTTTATTGTTTGTTTGTTTGTTGTTTAACGCCGCACTCAGCAATATTCCAGCTACATGACGGCGGTCTGTATATAATCAAGTCTATATCCAGACCAGACAATCCAGTGATTGACATCATGAGCATCGATCCACGGAATTGTGAGTTAAAGCCGCTTTGAACAGTATTTGGGGGCACGGGTGGCCCAGTCGTCTAAGGCGCCGCGATTCGCTGTGCAGAGTTGCGTCCCTTGGGCACGCCAGAAACCTATGATTGTGGGTTCGAATCCCGGTTCGCCCCGATTATGTTTCTAGGTTTGTCAGCACTATACCCGTGCTCGTGGGTTTCACCGAAGTGGTAAACGTCTGAGACCTGCATCACTTCGGGCTTTCTTCCCACATTAAGCTGACACGCCGCGATATAACTGGAATAATGTTAAAAGCGGAGTTAAACCTAACTCACTCACTCACTCACTTGAACAGTATTTCATTTATGTCAGCTTGATATGGGCGGAAAGTCCGAAGTGATACAGGTGTTGGACGTTCACTAATTTGTGAGACCAACGAGCACGGTCGTGGTGCTGATAAAGCTTGAAATATCATCAGCGCGAACCGGGATTCGAACCTACGACCATAGGTTTTCTTGCACCCTTAGGGACGCGCAGCCAATTTGACAAATTTGACGTCTTGGCCAGCCGTTGCGACCGTAACGAGCTTCGGTTGCAATTTTTCAAGGACAAATTGTCCCACAAATGTTAATATACTAGACTGGAACCAGTCTCCAAAACAGCACAAAAAATCTCTTATGTACCTTCGTCACTAGTGTATTCCGAATGCATTAAAAACTCTTTTTGAAACAACATTTCAGTGTCTATGTTGCAGGTTTTGGGTTTCGTTTGTTTGTATAAATATTTGTTTGTTTGTTTTGTTTATTAGTGTGTTTGTTCGAGGTTATTCCCACATGTATTATATTTGATTATTATAATTTTGTGCCTATGTCAGCATGATTGCTTATTTCCTCCCCTAGATACTGGAATATGATCCTATGACAGATGCCTATAAACATGATTATGTACAAGCACCCACTTAATATGAGCGAATCGAACTTTAGCCTATTAAATGTCAGTGCCACAGTAACAACAACTATAAACAATGATTAATGGGTATGAATATGCATGTACATACTCCCAGAATGATAAGAGTGCATTAGACGGCGCCAAGTTGCACCCACACGTGCAGCGCAGGCCACACAGGGAACCAGGCTGACGTGCAGCCTGTCAGGGTCTGATTTGACCGGTGTGGAACACAGGAGAACTCATTCATGATCACTCGAGTCATTCCGGGACAGGTCACGGAAAGGAGCGAGCGGTGACGAATGGGGGAGCTCAGAATCCCTGAATCTTCGTTTTATGCAAACTGATAACGTATGAAGAGACTTGATTTCGAAATGAATAAAAATATTAAAATGTGAAATGTGTTTTAGTTTCTTGGTAACATGTTAGGCCTGTCGGGGCTAACAATTTAAAGTAAAAACATTAGTGGTTATACATGGCTGTCACCAGCCTCGTTCCTATTTTAACGGTGGGGTGACCATATGGTTAAAGCGTTTGCTCGTCACGCCGAAGGCCCGGGTTCGATTCCCCACATATGTACAACTTTTAACTTTAGGGAACTGAATCGATACGTTAACTATAACGCTGCTTTGACATTCATATATTACTGAGTTTTTGCTTAATGCCGAAGGAAACGTTCAAAGTGATGCAGTTCGAAGACGTTAACTTCATCGGTGAAATCTTGGATTCGAACCTACCACCAGTGCATCCTGCAACGCCTAAGGGAAAAAACTCTGTCTCACGAATCTCGGGCCAGCTTAATGCGTGAAGAAAGACCAAAATAAATAAAGCTTGAATATTGCTGAGTGCGGCGTTAAACAAAAACAAACACTACTTCAGCGAGTCAGCGCAAGATATTCGCCTGTACCACATTTTCATACAATGTACAGTGAATGCGGTAGCTACTTAATGACGGCTTATTGTCTTCCTGAAGTCTAATTGTATTAATTAATTCATTGTTTTTTCACGGTTATTTGTACGGCAATGTAGTCAAGTGAAAGCAAACGATTTAATTATAGATAATCTTATCGGGGTGATTAGGGTCATCGCCATGGTGCTTAATGACGCGGATCTAAGGCGCCGGGATAATCCGACAAATCCAATCAGAGAATGGGCTGTGGCATCAGAAGGATTATCAGCCTTCAGTATGCAAAGAATTTGAAAGTTGTTACTAAAAACAAAATTTATCAAAAACATATTTCTCTTTCTGTCATTTGTTCAAGAAATAATGTTTTTGAAATAACACTTGGAATAAAACGCACCGGGCCTGCAATATTATTTTTGGACAATGATCTTTAAATTATGTCGTGTGGAACAAATATTTAATCATGTTTGAACAATAAATGAAAACGAAACCTTTTTATTGGTTGTGGCGACGTTTCGTGGCTACTTCTTGCGCTTTCATGGAACAATATAGTTGATTTCTGAAAATGATAATCCAATCTATAATTCCCCGGCTCATCTTCAGCTCTAAGTCGCACCTTCACGTCATGAACCCGCGAAGATCCGGGGTAGAATAGATCTTCAGCAGTCCATGCTTGCCGTAAAAGGCGACTATGCTTGTCGTAAGAGGCGACTAACGGGATCGGGTGGTTGACCAGCTGGCTTGGTTGAAGCATGTCATCGATCCAAATTACGTAGATCGATGCTTATGATGTCAATCACTGGATTGTCTGGTCCAGACTCGATTATTTACAGACCGCCGTCATATAGCTGGAATATTGCTGAGTGCGGCGAAAAACAACAAACCAACCAATCTTTGCGTCACGATGCAGTCAGCATACCTTCAATAAACAGTGTTGAGAAATGCTGTAACATTTTATCGTTGTGCTAACTTCGTTTTTAATTTCTACGTTGTATCCGCCGTGGAATAACTAGCCCTTTATAAATATATTGCCGTTAAAGTTATTTGCGGTGCCATGTCACACCCTAAAAAACTACAACTGAAAAGCAATCTCATTTACTTTCATTGAGAAAAAATTGACATATGAAAGAATGCAGCTTATTGTCTTGTTTTATCAACAGCTGTCTATCAAGAATTCGCGATAAGATAACGTTACACAATAATGTCAATGTGTCTTTTCACCATAGAATGACTTATCACAAAGTAAGGCTTTATCTTTATAAAGCAATCTGTGTACACCTGTAAATGTTATATATTTTAACGTTACGTTGCTCCCAGCAGCAACACTCGTGGGAGACGAGGTGGACGGTGACGACGGCGGAATGTTTGATGCATTCGGACGGGGAGAAATATCATAGCGACAAGCCCAATGGTTGCTCGACTCGAGAGGCAGGCATCTATGAGACCCGTAAGGGGAACCAATGGCGACGAATAATACCGACTAATTAGATGGTCGATTGATCGTAAACGAGAACTGCGCGTTCGTTTAATGCGCTTATGTCTAATTCTATGAATGAACATCACATAACTAAACGGGTTATAGAAAACAGATACGGAAGCATGTTTCAACTCGAAAAGTGCCGGAGTTAAGCTCTCTCTCAGCCCTCCTTAAAACCCCGCACGGATCGATTCAGCAGTACGTCTGCTTGCCTCGGCTCAAACACATCGCTGTTACAGTGGCGGTAACTTAACGGGATACATTCGCTCCAAGGATAGCCGCGGAATTTGTTAAATCATTTAGTCGGTTTAGTGCCTGCCGCAGTTAACGTGTATATTCCTTGGAATATTTTTGGAGCAGTGTTTGGAAAAGTACCATAAATTCAAGAAGCAACTTAATAATTTCTTTAAAAGGATCACGTACGTGAAGTATATTGAGCTATCTTGTAAATATGGCCGAGGAACAAGAAGCAATGTTTACCAAACTGTCTGAAGCTGAAAATTGCAACTCTCTTCTTAAGAAACACCTGACGAAAGAGGTGTATGATAAAATCAAGGAAAAGAAAACCAGTCTTGGAGGAACCCTTGCTGACTGCATACGATCAGGTGAGTTTGAACGCAGACGACAACTGTTGCATGGAGCAGACGACAGCGTGATGCATAACTTTGATGCTGTTGCATGCCAAATCGATGTTTAAATGCACCCAAAACGTTTAGAGTGTATTTGTCTCTTGCCCCTTCACACACAAGCAGGACAGGAGTCGATTTCGGTTACAGAAAAATCGTAGGAAGAATGTGTCAATGTTTAGCCAAGCTCTCACGAGCCTCCCAACAAACGCCTTTCGCCTTAACACATTCTGCATAAGATGCCACCGTGTCTCACTATTACGCATCTAAAATTGGATTTGCTAGCTCACGTCGACCTATTTATCAGTTTAATATGTCGTCCTCCCTAGCGGTATTTAGCATATTGTGGTGGTAAATATACTTGTTGTGGAATGGTGTAGGTTTCTGGTATCGGGTGGCCGTTATGGGGCGTGTGAACTGCTGGAATCAATCAATCACACCCTTCCTCCGTGCCGACAGTGGAACAGAGGGCTGTATAAAGTTTCATGTCTCCGTGTCCTATACGTGGTCAAACGTTACGTTTCAAACCCCCGTTGTGTTCAATTATTCATAACACTTGATGCAATAGATGAGTTGGTCTTATAATTGAATAACGTTCTGGTATATCGTACGAACCAGTTAACACCGAAAAATGGTTCTGACGCCAAAGATTTGTTTCTACTGAAAACATACAGATGAGATAGCAATAAGGGTGTGTATTCTATACATAAGTGCTTTGCGTGCGCGTTAACGTGGCGTATGCGTTTTAGTAATGCTAAACTAACCTGATGTTTTATGAATATAACGATGCTTCAAATTCGTAACCAAAAAACATCTTGAGAATACTTTTGGTTTATATCGAAAGGTATAAAGTAATATGGGAGAGATGATGTGAAATTGTGTGTAACGTCGCGTTCAAGATTATTGCACTAATAGAGCCACCGAGACGGTTTTAGTGAAATATAATCAGAAATGCAGCGATGACGATGTTTATCTGAATCTTGGGTTGGGGTTGTGGAAGCACTGGACTTCTTTAAGATACGTTTAAGACATTTAGTTCTATTTAAAGAGAGCTGCGCCATAAACTGAATATCAACTTCTAACGGGGAAGCTACATAGCCTCATGAATATGTGAAATAAGGTCACGTGGAAGACTCGTAAGTTAAAAAACAGCCAAAAAACCAGAGGTCATGCAGAGGAGGACATGGGTTATGGCATTGACCCATATTAACTCGAAATCACTATTCGCAGGTGGTGTTAGATAGCATCATTACTAAGCAACCTGCTTCTGGGAATGAACAGGGGTAAATAAACTGATATATTTTGTAAGTAGTAACGTATACGTGTAATTATGTATATAAATATATATACTGAAGAAAACAAGTTAGGGATCATGAATATTTTTAAAACATTTTTTACTTCAAAAACGTCCCCAAAATATTCATGATCCCTATTTTTTTGGTTCAGAATACATCCAGGTTTTTTATCAGCTCACAATACCGTCTGATAGGGCATTTTCACAATGTCTTCTCGGATATACTATATCATGACATTACTTTAATTACGATATCATTAAGGTGTTCCCGTTCATGCTCTGTCATCCTGTCCGGATACAGTCACAATATTTACTATAGAACGGTATAACATCACGATATTTACTATGTGTAAGATATATTCACGATATTTACTATGGTACGATATAATGATGATTTTTGCTATTGTACGATGCAATCACAATATTCACTCACCGCCTCCTTGGTATAGCGGAAGTACGGGGGTCGATTCCTCGCCGCGTCATACCAAAAGACCCTGCCAGGCGCTAGGCATTTATGGGCTAAAACAAAGGTTGGTCGACTATAAAATCGGCATTAGTCCGGACTAGTACACACACACACACACACACACACACACACACAGTGCATGCACGTTGCTATGCACGTGCAATAATCTTGAACGCGACGTTTAACCCCTTTTCGCCTCACCTCACTTCAAAATAGTCACTATGGTATCGTACAATAACGAAATTCACTATTTATGATATGATCATATCTGTTATTATACCTTTATGGGGTACACACTAACGATATTTATAGTATGATATTATCACGATCTATACTATTGTACGATATCGTCACGATATATACCTTAGTACACTCACGATATTTATGATACGATATTATCACGATATTTACTATTGTACGATTCACGATATATACTATTGTACGATATAATCACGATATATACCTTAATGAGGAACACTCACGACATTTATTATTCGATATTATCACGATAGTTACTATTGTTCGATATAATCACGATATTCACAATATAGGATTTTTCCTATAATACGATATAACCACGATATATACCTTAATGATGTACAATTACGATATTCATTAATATGTGATATTTACAACTGTACGGTACAATTACTATAATTACCTCGATACAGTAATCGCGATATTCACTTTAGAACGATAAAATCACCACATTTGATAACACGGTATAATCGCATATATTTCAAGCACCAATTCTACAACATTACAATCTACTGTTTTCACTATACGACGAAGCCTATGAATGCTTAAAAATGCCATACATTTCTGACATTTTCACTGTCTTAATCCATTTTAATTGATATTAGGTTTGAGCGTACAACTTAATTACGTGTTTTGGTCACTAGTGCAAGTATGCAAATGAACGCCGAAGGCTTAATTAAAGAGTTTTTATAGGTTAGTCACAGAAATAAGCTCGGATGACCCTTATATCACGAGCTTACACCCACGATGTACAGAACCTAGAATTGAAACACTAGCCTGAATGAGCCAAACGTGTACTGGATGATATATGACCCCTATATTGTGATTTTCATTGCTAGAATAAAACGTTGTAATACGATAGCTTGGCGAATGTAAAACGGTGGCATTTGAATGTATATAATTCTTTGTTCATAAATGAACAGTAAGAATTTCCAAAATGAAATTTTATACATGCGTAGTTACGGCGAGAAGGAAAATAAATAGAGGGAGAAAAGAAATGGGAACTAATTATAGAAATCGTTTTGAACGCGCGCCATGGCCTTCGTCCACACAGCACCTCAGTCAAATCGAGGATAAATATCTCCGAGAACACAGTTTATTCGTCTCCGAAGAGTTAAATTAGTTTCTTGGTATCTGTACACTCGACAAACGATTCCCCATATGGCTAGAATACGAGAGGAAGAAGTCTAGTTTACTTAATGTCTTGTGTTACAGATTTGTAACTAACTCGTTGACATGAACACACTCAGCCAGTAGGCTTAGGAGATTGTGATACGTAGAGCAATGCCAATACAATACCTGAACATGTTTAATGAGTTAAAATTTAACGTCGCACTTGCATTATTTTAGCCATATATTATATAGCGGCTGAACATGTGTAGATGCGTGCGCGTGCGTGTGTGTGTGTTTAGAATAGACAGACGGACAGTTTATTCAGTATTTTAGGCTTAGGTGTTTAGAATAGGTCTTCAGCAACACAGGCTTGCCATAAAATGCGACTTTGTTTGTCGTCAGCCTCGCTGACTTGGTTCATGCATGTCATTGTATCCCAACTGCGTGGATCGGTGCTCATGATGTCAATCACTAGATTGTCTGGTCCAGACTCGGTTTTTTTACAGACCGCCGCCATATAGCTGAAATATTGCTGCGTGCAGTGTTAAGCAACAAACATACCAACTCGCGAAGATCGGTATAGAATTGGTCTTCAGCAACCCGTGTTTGTCGTAAGAGCGACTAACGGGATCGGGTGGTCAGGCTCGCTGACTTGGTTGATGCATGTCATCGTATCCCAATTGCGTGGATCGATGCTCATGATGTCAATAAACAAACAAACAAACAAACTGCATAGACATTGGTGTTAGGTATAGTCATGTATACAATAGGACATGGGAGTTTGCAGAGACCGTGAGGAATTCTACAGTTTGTGTTTGGTTCTGGTGTTATAACGAGGGTTTGCCTTATAAAAAGGTGCCGCATACAACGTAAGCCTTCAAGCACATTTAGGTGCGAGTGTAGCCTGTATCAACTGGCGGCATCGACACATAAAACTGCACTCTCGACTTTCAAGTGTTTAACCATGAAGTTGCCGTTGTTCAAACAACACCAGAAGGTGAGATGAATCCTATAATTTAGATATGACGCAAACATTAGTAATTAAGTGCAAACGGTTATGTTAGGAAGGTGTAGCTTAGAGAAACGTTGATTTTCCTGTCGGGAAGGGTAACAGTTGGACAACACAGTCAGTGTGTTAATCGCTTGCGGGTAAACAGTTCGCGACCAACGTTCATTCAATCAACACGTGTTCATTGTTGGATGGAGGAAGAAGGCATGTAGACTATTGCTGTCATCAAGCTTATTTTGACAAAATTGCATGTTATGAGTTTATGGGTGTGCTGTATACATGCATGTCGTCACCGAAGGTATCACGCCCAGGGAAGTCCTCCCTACCACATCCTCTCCCCACAGGGAAACCTTGCCTCACCCCGTATCCTCTCCTCCAAAACCACTCTGTCGTCTTTTCTTGCTTACATAGAACCGCCTCCGTGGTCTAATGGTTGAGCGTCCGCCCCGAGAGCGAAAGATCGGAGGTTCGATCCTCGGCCGCGTCATACCAAAAGACTGCTTGTCGTAAGAGGCGACTAACGGGATCGGATGGTCAGGCTTGCGGACCTGGTTGATGAATGTCATCCTATCCCAATTGCGTGGATCGATGCTCATGACATCAATCACTTGATTGTCTGGTTCAGACCCGATTATTTACAGACCGCCTTCATATAGGTGGAATATTGCTGAGTGCGGCGTTAAACAACAAACAAGTCATACCTAAAGATGTTAAAAAGATGGTACTTGTTGTTACCCTGTCTGGCGCTCGGCATTAAGGGGCTAAAACAAGGAGTGGTCGGCTCGATGTCAGAATACTGTGTCTGAGTGGGGTATTCATGTTAAACTCCGGTATGGTAT